TCCTTCTAATCTTTCTTCTACTCTTTAAACTTCCATGTGTCTTCATTTTCTTTCCTCCATTTCCATCATGACCACTTTCTGATCCTGCTTTTACCTCGCAGAATCCCAGCGTGGTTTGTATTGGAAGGGACCTTAAAGCTCATCCAGTTCCAACCCCTGCCATGGGCAGGGACACCTTCCATTAGAGCAGGTTGTTCCAAGCCTCATCCAGCCTGGCCTTGAACACTGCCAGGAATGGGGAATGATGGTGACCCCTTCACTTCAAGTTGCTATTCACAAAATCCCTGGTCATCTCTTCTTTGAGGCTGAGGGACCTGGGATGGCACCAGACACATCCCACAAGGTACCTTTGACACAAGATGGGCATGGGAGAAAGTTTATAGTGCAGTTTGTACTTTGTTATTCCTGGTATTAATAATAAGGTAGTAATAGAAGTAGTGAAGAGGGTGAATGTGGGCATGAGGCCAATAGCGTGTTGAGAGCAGAGGAAGGGATTTTCCCAGTAACACAGAGAAAAGCAGACCCCATCTGCTTTCATTGTCAGTTAAAGCTATGCCAGTAGCTTTGTGCTTATTAAGAATCCCACAAAAATGAATTGGCACAGCAAGGAGAAACCTCTGGCAAGGGCTTGATTTTGGTTTCACAGCCACATGCTGCTGCCCTTATGTGAGCTCACCACCATGTGATAAACTGTTACCCAGCTTGTCCTCCCCCTGACACAAGTCCATCAGCTGCTGGGCATGGAGATAAACTGTACTGGGACAGTGACTCAGTGCCTGCCCAGAGCAGAGTCACCTTTCAAAGGTGACTTGGTGCTGCCAGTGGTGCTATAGCTCCCAGTGAGCCCCCGGGATCATAGAATCCCAGCCTGGTTTGGGTTGAAGGGACCTTAAAGCTCCTCCAGTTCCAACCCCTGCCACGGGCAGGGACACCTTCCACTAGAGCAGGTTGCTCCAAGCCCCATCCAATATGGCCTTGGGATGCTCGGTTGTTTTCTGCTTTTGGAGAGGGGTTGCTAAAAGGCCACAAAACCTTTGTTGCTTTGTGCAGTGTTGCAAAGCAGCTTTCCCTTTGCTGGGGGAGGTTTTGGGGAGCATCCCAGGGAGCGGTTAGAAGCAGCCATGTGCTCACATGCTGCATCTGGTGCCAAGAGCAGCGTGTGGTTTGGCAGCATGCAGAAGCTCTGGTATCTAGTACGTCCACTGGCATATTGCAGCTGCTTCCTGGCATCTTCTGCATTTTGCTTCATGTCCCCAACTTCTGCTGGAGAGTGGGACAGGCTCAAACCCCAGCTACTGGCACAATGATTGCACTGAGCTACTTGCCCCAGGAGGCTCCTGGGTCAAGGATCTCCAGTACAGAAGCTCCATCCCTGCCCCATCCCTGGCAGTGTTCAAGGCCAGGTTGGACACAGGGACTTGGAGCAACCTGGTCTAGTGGAAGGTGTCCCTGCCCGTGGCAGGGACTTGGAACTGGAGGAACTTTAAGGTCCCTTCAACCCAAACGAGGCTGGGATTCTTAATTTAAAGATCACACTAATCTCTGCTGATTGAACTAGGGACCACAGGCAAAAGCCTGAGGCAGCTCCCTTTTGATCTGTGAGCACTTACCGCTGCTCTGGAGTAGTTCCCAAGCTCTGGAACACTGCTCAAACACAGAGGTTCAGTGTTTGCTTTCCACCAGTCAACATGGTTTAAAGGTGTCAAGTTTGTTCCCTGCAACTGCTGTTGTAAAAGCCAAACTGTTACTTTCCCAGAGGGAGCACTGGGAACAGTGAGTAGTGTCCAGGGAGATCACATTTGCTTTTAGGTTGCAACTTCTACAACGTGCTGGGATTAATCGGCAGCTTATTCCCTCCTCCTGCTCGTCTGATTTATGACTTATGCAAATGGAAAGTGACACGAGTGAGCAGAGGGTGTGTTTGTGTGGAGTTAAGCTGTTGGGCAGGTCTGTCCCTCTTGTCACGGGATGCCACAAGGTTCAGTAGGTGGCTGCTGAGTGGGGGGAGCCTGGTTTGGGAGCACCCTGAGGGGTGTAGCAGGGATCAGCGCTTAGGTACGGGTGCCTGGGCTGCCTGCCATGGCTGGTGCGTCTCCTCAGGGCGGAGAACCTGCCCAGGACCTTCCCTTGTCTCAGTGCCAAGAGGTGAATTTCTCATAGCTTCTGATATTGTGCTTCCAGGTGACTCTCTTTGTCTACTCTGACCTGCTGCTTTTCACCAAGGAGGACGAGCCTGGGCGCTGCAATGTGCTGAGGAACCCTCTCTACCTGCAAAGTGTCAAGCTCCAGGAGGGTGAGTGTCTGCAGGCAGCAGTTTGGTGCATTTTCATGGCCACTAGCTATGCTTCTAGCCAGCAGCAGGATAGCACCCCACTACTCCACTGTTGCCAGCATGTAAAGTACCATCTAACTGGTGCTGCCAAATCATCATGCAGTGGGATGCAAGGCCAACGTCACCCTCCCTGTCCCTGCATTAACCCCGTCCCCAGGAGCTCCATCTCGTGGGACACCTCGTGGGCACTCGGGTACCACCACTTGCTTTCCAGGGCTTTGTGGTGCATCTCTCAGGGGTTTGGGGCTGGCATTCGCAAGCTCTGGCTGTGTGGGGCTGTTCCCTCACTGGTGTTACTCTGCCTGCAGCCGGGGCTTGGTGAGGCAGAGAAGGGGAAGTCTGAGGTTTCCCTCAAGGGAGTTCAGAGGTTATCTCTCTGGCTGAGCCTTGCTGACCTTTACTCTGCTGCTTCTCCCTTCAACCACCCACAGTTTCCCCCTGCGCCAGCATCCCCCCCCATGCAGGAAGAAAGAGCAAACCCTGAGCAGACCCTGGCCTTGGTGGCAGGCTGTGGACCTTGCCATTCTTCTCTTCACATTAGTTGGGCTTTCACGTCTAGCTGAGGAATCAGAGAGGGCTTCTAGAGCAGAGGGTGACCTGAAATTAGTTCTTTCAAGTTGAAATGCTGAGGCTGTACAAAAGATGGCCTTAAGGTACTCAGGGTCAAAAGCAGAACAAATGAATTGCTCTACCACATCCTATTTGCTACTGTGGAGCCGCTTCTTGGCCCTGAGCCTGGTCCCACATTGTTCCTTCTTTGGTGCAGTCACTTTTGGGTATGGGTTTGTTTTGTGTGCAGTCCCCTGACTGTGTCAGCATGGGGCTGGTGCCCCAGTTCTTCCTCCTGGAGCCCAGGCAGTGGGACTCACTGGACCAGGACCTGATGTGGAAGTTGTCATTGGGTTAAGGAATAACTTCTCTACAGTGAGGCTGGTCAAAGTTGCCCAGAGAGGCTGTGGGACCTCCATCCCTGAAAGTGTTCAGGTCTCAGCTGGGCATGGCCCTGATCTGAGTGCTTTGGACAGGGCTTGGACTCTAGAGACCACCAGAGGGGCCCCTTCCGGCCCAAATTACTCTCTAACTGTATGAGCTGATGTCTTTATGCAGTCCCGTGGCCCTGACCACAAGGGGACCATCTAGATCCAGGCTGCTTCTCCAAAGGGATCATTTTCTGGTTGGATTTTGCCCCTTCCCATGACTCTGTGGATGAGCTGTGTTTTCCAGGTTTCCATGTTGTTGTGAACCTCACTGCTGGTGATTTGCAGAGCTGAGCAGGACACCACAGGGAAATGGGAAATCACAACTGCCTGTGATTTCCCATTTCCAACATTTCTGCTCCCAGATTCACTCACTGACCTATCTGGTGGGGGCAGAAACACAGTGAGGGTGATGGGCCACCACAGCACAAGCCATTTAGAAAAGCCTCTGGAGCTTCCCTGGGGTTTGTGGAGTTTGTTCTTGGTGCTGCTTATTTCTAAGAAACACATAAAGGAAACTGTTCCTGGTTGGAGTGTTCAGTTGTTGGTCAGTATCTGCTCCAGGAGCATGTGTGCCACCCGGCTGCTTTCCTAGCCTCTGCGAGTTACTGCTCTTGTTCACCTCCTTGAAGGAATCAGCTTCCCCAGTGCTGGTCCCGGCTCTGAGCACCCAGGTCTGTTCACGGCTTGGCACAGGAATGTGCCTCCTAACCTCAGGCAGAGCAGTTGGATTTTGTGAGTGCTTTTCTGCCACTTATTTCGTTGTTGCCTTGATGGATCACATCTGGAATAGCTTTAACAAGCCTCTCTGAAGGGGGTGTTTGTCTTTCCATCACTGAACCAACCACCCCCCATGCACCAGGAATCCAGCATGGTCGGTTCTGAGGCAGCTCACCCTCCTGGTTTGGGCAGGGCTGCTTCAAAGGCGGGTGGAATGAGCTAAAGATGTCCATCCCTTTTGGCAGGGCTTTTCTGTTGGTCTCCTGAAGGACTGAATGGCACATGAATAGGAACAGGCGTATTGCTGCGTACAACAATCGGGACATCTCCGGTGCACTACAGACCATTGTGATGTTTCCTGTTGCTGCCGCTCGCTGCGCTGTGCGAAGGCAAATCAGTATAATCTGCTGCACAATGTGCCGTCTTCCTGCTTTAGAAGCCGAGCAGGGCTGATGAGCACCACACCAGCCAATGTTTCCAGTGTGACAGGGCTGGCTTCCGCAGCAGATACTGTGGGAATTTCTACGTGAAGGTCACCACCTCGCTGGGATCCTGCCCCCCGCTGGGTGGGTGCACTCAGTTTTGGGATAGGGAAGAACGCTACTGTTCTGCAGCCGGAATGAGGAACCCCAGGATCCAGCTGGGATCCTGCAAACAAGGACTTCTCATGTGCTGTTTTGCTGTCCTTGACATCCCAGCCCACTGTATCTTGCAGCAAACAGCTCCAAAATAGAGGCCAGGAGTGTAACTTGTGAGTCTTCTGTCCTGCCATGGCTTTTCCCTGCTGCCCAAGGATGCTGGAAAGAAAGAAACCTGGAGAGGGGCTTTGGACAAGGGCCTGCAGGGACAGGCCAAGGGCAATGGCTTTAACCTGCCAGAGGGGAGACTGAGATGAGCTCTGAGGCAGAAGCTCTTCCCTGGGAGGGTGCTGAGGCGCTGGCACAGGGTGCCCCGAGAAGCTGTGGCTGCCCCATCCCTGGCAGTGTTCAAGGCCAGGTTGGACACAGGGGCTTGGAGCAACGTGCTCTAGTGGAAGGTGTCCCTGTCTGTGGCAGGGGGTTGGGACTGGATGAGCTTTAAGGTCCCTTCCAACACAAACCACTCTGGGATTCCGTGATAGCACCCAGGGCTTGCACCCTGCCACACCTCCCCAGGGACATATGCCACACTTGTCCCCACTTAGTGGCCAGGTTTGGATATGTGTAACAGTCTTCCCCTGCGCCCCTGCACCCAGGGCCCTGCATACCCTGCCCTGTGACCAATCCTTGTGGAGCAGACATGGGGGGCAGTCAGGAGGGTTCCTGCCTTTGCCCTGGGCATTGCCACGGTCCCCTGGGCTATGCCAGGAGCTGTGGAATGGAGCCAGGATCATCTTCCTTCTTTTCCCATCTTTTTGACCCCATTCTTGGCATGCACCACCCAAACCCTGCAGTCAGTGGGTGTTTTCCTGGGGTTGCACAGGAGGTGTGGGGCGGTGCTGAAGGCTGCTGCTGTGCTTATGAGTCCTGCCTCACACGTCAGCATGGGATGAGGCTGAGCTGAAGAGGGGAATGTGTCCCCACAAAACTCACACCTCTTCTTGTTGGTGCTGAGCACTCGCAGCAGCCCAGCCCTGGGGCAGGGACGGCTCCAGTTAACACAAGCCAGTA